AAATCTTGCTCACCATCAGCTCCTCCCTAAAGCCTTTCTAACCTGCCCCAACTTGAAATGCTCTTCCTCTCCGGTGATCCCTATGGAATCTGCTGCATATACCACTCACTTGTCCCTTCGCATCATCTCCTTTGATTACTCAGTTCTCTTCTTAAGTGGGTGTGTCTAGTCCCCGCCTGAAGGCATCCTTGCTTCCCTTTAGACGAGTTGCCTTCTTCCCCAAAGCAGGTATAGATACAAGTTTACTGATTAAAAGGTGTGGGGGCAACATCCCAGAATAACCACCATTTTAGCATGGGTGCAGGTGGATGTGAAGGCATCCCATCTGCTCCACGAAAGAGTGTCTTCAGGTCTCCGTCTAGAGGCGGTCAGGACACTGCTGGGTACGGGGCTCAGAGGAGTACATCGCATATCATCAGCCTATTCCCATGCGTCACAGCCTCGAGACTGGGTGGGACTGTTTAGGGAACAGGAGTCCAGAGCTGAGACCACAGACCTACCCAGAGGAGGAGCAGCAAAGGAGGGGCGACAGGAAAAGACACCAAGAACATCCAAACTCTCCCTTTGGGACCTCTCTTAGGACACTTAACCACTTTTAGACTCTTTTTTGAATGATTTGGTCACAAATTCTAAATGTCCCAGAAGAGGGTAAGCTCCTGGGGAGAAAGGACTCCGTCTGAGCTCTCAGGGCTTCTCTGCATCTTTCTCAGTCACTAGACAGACGTAGACACACAAGCTCTGGCATTTGGCAGTTGGTTTAAAGCCATGTTTGTTAAACAGAAGCCTGAACCTTCAACCAATACCTGTGTTAGTTTCTGGGGACAGCATGGTGTGATTCTTGCCTTTAAGGGTTTCAGCCCAGTGGGGGACTCAGAGGTACTCACTGAACAATTGTAGTGGACACTTCCCAAGTGCCGGGCATTCACGGTGCAAGAGTGAGACAAGAAAAAGGCAGACAGGACCCCCACATTCATGAAACTCACATTCAGATACTGCCTCGTGGGCTTTACAATCTTGTTCCGGGGGGAAACTGTGGATAAACAGATTGATGGGCAGGTATACACATATATACACTCACAGAAGACAAAACAATAGAGCAGGATGTCAGAGCTGGAAGAATGTCAAAGAGGATCCAGTCTGCTTGCAGATGAGGAGACCGAGGGCCAAGGAGTACCAATGACTTCATCACAGTTACAAAGTGATAAAGCTGGTCTGTGACAGGGCTTGGCTCAACCTTGGGCTTCAGTGCTCACAACACACACACACACACACACACACACACACACACAGCGCTAAATTAAACATAATCAAAACACAGACAGCGTGTATATGAGTGGCACGGTCCATCGTGCTGCTGTACTTGCCAATCCTAACACCTAGCACAGCTGCCTGCCCTTCACGAGAACTACCAAGCTAGCCACCAGCAATTATTGAGAAGGAGAATTCTTTTTCCTTGCTCCCAAATTTGCTTCGGGATGTGAGTCCTTAGTCATTAAAGTCACCCCAGCTGGACAGTAAGAGGTGTGTGTGTATGTGTGTTTGGAGCTGATCTCCAACATCCAAACCCCTAGGGCATCCCCCTGACCCCCTCATTAGGCCATTCATTGGCTCTTTACACCTTTGCCACATCAGCTCCTTCTGGTGTCAAGTCCCTTCCAATGCCCCAGGGTCTGGGGATGGAGGTCAGGCTTCCAAAGGGGCCCCGCCTGCATGCTCATGAGTGGCTATAACATACCCCCCACCGCCAAGCAAATTTTCCTGGGGTCACACTGATGCTTTCTAAGGCCCCTCCTCTCCTGCCCGCCTGTTGCCCGCAGGGTGTGGGCACTGCTCTCCGAGTCTGTGGGGAGGGCTTCTCCCACCTACGCCTGGAGAACGGCAGGGTGTGGCTCTGTCCCTCCGTGGCAGTTGAGGGTACGTCTCCCAGGGGCATAGTGGCCCATGAACCCAGCCTGCTTCCAACCATCTTTCTACCAAGTCACTTCCAATCCCCGAGTGGTACTCAGGCCCGGAGCTCTGGGGCTGAGTCACCTGGCATCAGAGCAAGATGGGCCCAACGGACCACCCAGGAGGGGAACCAGGCCCGGAGGGGGAATCACTGACCAGAGCCTCATGCGAGGCCAGGATTAGAGCCCACATCCTTGACTCTCAAATCGGTCATCTTTGCAGTGAGCCAGGCTGCTTCTAGGGGGGCCTTACACGGCTAGGAGGGCTCCTGTGACAGGACCCCTTCACTGGTAATGGGGGAACAATTCCACAAGTGGCTGTTAAGGGCTCAGACGATCCAGTGGCCGATCAGCAGGGGCTGGTGGCAGCTGTGTCCCCGCAGGTGTGAGGGGCAGGTTGCACCCGGGGCTGGGTGCCGGCTTGCATCAAAAGATGTGGCTGCCTGGGAGGCCGGCTGCCGGCCAGAAGGCGGCCCGGAGGGGCCTCAGGGTGGAAACAGCTTGGCTGGCAGAGCAGACGCTGGCGCGTGGCCACTGGTGGCAGGACTCCTTAGCAGACCTGTTTTCTTGTTTAAGTACCATCCCCCCCAACACCCCTCTCCCCCACAAACCGTAATACCACCGTGTTTTGCTTTGAGCGGGGATGGTGAATCTTTGCCAGCAGATGTAATTCTCAGATTGCCGGGGCCCTTGAAGGAGAGTTGGAAGCCAGCTTCCCCTGGGGAAGGGCTGCCCTGGGAGGGGCCACCTGCTCTTCTGGGTACTTTACTTTTTCCATGTGGGTGAAAAAAAAAATCTGATTCTTCCCACTCCACAGATCCCCAAGGCCAAATACCTGCTGTCTGCCCTGCCTTTTCTATCTCTGGTAGGGGTAGTGGCTCTTCCCTTCCCAGCCCGCGGGGAGGAAGAAGGAAGACCCGGCAGGGAGGTAGCCGGGAATCAACCTGGCCTTCTCTGCAGCTCTGCAGCCCTGGCCCTGAGATGTTACGGAAGATGGTGGAAGGTTTCCCGAAACTAGGGGAAAAATACACAAGAGCTGCCCTGAAAGCCTCAGCGGACAGGAATTCAGCCCCACATGGTGGTGAGGCCGCTGTTTGAGGGCAGGAAAAGGAGTGAGAACAGCAGGCCTGGGGCTTCTTGCCCGCAGCCCAGAGCTTCCCAGCCAGCAGGCCAGGGGGATCCTGGGACCCGACGACGTTTTGGCCAGTCCTCCTCAGGTCCCTCCTGTAAATATCCATCCACAGAAGCTCTTTTCTCCAGTGCTCAGAGGTGCCAGTGCTTCACTGCACCTCAGAAGGGTGGGTCCTGGGCTCCTGACTCCCTCCTGGGGAGCTAGATGTCTCTTCCATTTCAGAGGATTTTGGCCCTGCCTGTCTTTCCCTCACTCTATTTTCTCCCAAGCTGTTTGTCTGGAATGTTGGCACCAAACCACTCGGAAAAGGTGCAGCATCTTCCCATCAGCATCAAGGTCCAGAGCCGCGTGGGCCCCAAGCCTGCGGGGAGATGTGGTCCAAGACCTTTCGGGAGGCTTCTGGTCATGACCTGCCCCAGGGTGGCTGATGGGCACAGGACACAGAGCCGGAGCTTGGTGACTGAGGCTCCTCTCTGCTACCAAGGGAACTCCCTGGGGTTGATTAGAACTTGCTTGCCTCATCCCAGGTAGCTCAAGACCTGATGTGGGCATCAGGAGGCACAGACAGGGGGCCAAGGCCAGAAGGAAGGTAGCAGAGATGTACGCATCACCAAGCACGCTGTCTGGGAAGTCAGGAGCCCTGGGTAGTCCCCCCGACCAGCTTTAAATCTTAAGCAAGTCCCTTCTCTTGTCCACAGACCCACCAATGTAATTTGCAGGGCCAGTGCCAGGCTCCCTTGTTAAAAGAGTATTAATAATTTCAAGACAGTGACAGCAGAGCATTGAACCTGGTGTGATACCCTCCAGGTGTGGACCGCACGGGTGGCATCCCCACGAGGCCAGTCTATCAGCTTGGGCCTCAGTTTCTGCAACTACACAACGTGGAGGCTGTGGTCAGTCAGAGGTTCACCTACAGAGCCCTTTCTTCACAGGAACCCTCAAACCCTTCTATGCAAACCGAGCTGCTTCTCCGATACCATCTGAGAGTGTAGTTTAAAGCCCCGCGGATGACCTCGGAGGTCCTCTGCAGTTTCGACACTCAGGAAGTGGAGGAGGTGCGAGGGGAGCAAGCATCCATCCGCCCGGGTGCTGCGGCGGGATTATCGCAGAGCAGGTGAAACAGCGTCAAAACCTCGAAGGTTCCCTGTCCCGCAATATGACTCCAAACCCTGCTTCTCTCGTAGCCTGCGAATGAGCGTGAAAACCAGGTCTGCACCCCTCCCCACCCCCCGCCGCCTCTAGAAAGCCAGGCTCAGGGATGAGCATCTGGAACCAAGTTTGGTTCTTCTTTCCATCCCCAAAACGGGCTGCAGGGGCCACTGTGGTGATCCCCACTGGCCTGGGGAGAGCGCAGGCCTGGACCACTGGTCTCCCCTACTGCTTTGTCCCCAGGAGGTCAGAGGGCCATCAGCCAGGGTTCAGAGGTTGGGAAGGGCAGGGCCTGGGCTGAGAAACTCAGACCTGGCAGGTCTCTTCGGAGAAAAGAGTTGAAGTTCCCGGGGTGGGGGAGAATCCTAGGCCTGGCACTGGGCGGGGGCTGCTGCAGCCCTCGAGATGGGTCCCCTGGATGAGGCTGATGCTATTGAAAGGTTGGACTGGTGACACCTTTCTCTGCTGGCTGGTTAAAGGGATCAGAAACTTCTCTGGAATTTACGACGGCTTTTCGGGATAGAGCAATGAAAGGAGTCAGAACACTTTGCTTGCATTCCCTTTCCTCTCCCCTTCCTCTTGACTTCAGGGTTCCATCCCGCCCTCCCAGTAGCTTTCTGCGGAGGATACGAAAGGCCCAGAGAAGCCCCTGAAATCCTTCCCGGAGAAGTCCTTCGTCCTCAGCCCGCCTGGAGAGAGAGGTGCCCGCCGCGCCCCAGGCAAGGTGAGGGTCCCCCGGGGGCTTGCTTCGGACCTCCCGCGCGCGGGCTTACCTTTCATGGTCCCCGCTCCGGGGCCTCGGGAGGGCCCCACGGAAGGCGGCTTGGCGGCGGTGCGACCCGGGCTGAAGCCGGCGGGTCCCGGAAGGGCACC